TGGGGGGAATGGTTGGGCTCCCCTACCTGGGCCCGCTGCCCACACAGGCCTTTCTTGGAGCAATCCCAAAGGCCAGGTCATGTCTGCCCCATAGCTGGCCCAGTGCAGGTGGAAGGGCTGGTGACTGTGCAGGAGTGAGGGGCAGGGGAATGCACCTCTGATATGTACCACCCCCACCCCCGTCACCACCTTACCACACCCTCAGAGCACAAGAGGACTCCGATGGCCTCTGCACACTCGGGCCCTCACTGGGAGCTCTAGGAAGCAGAGGCTATGGCGTCTCGCCCCAGCCCCTCGCCCCTGCCCCCAAGCAGTGACTACTTAGCCAGCCTGCAGAACGAGAGCCTCCTCGATGCTGCCTCCAGGACTGAGTCCCTGTGTGAGAGCAAGAGGGCACCTAGCCAGCCGGACAGAGTCCCAGTGTGGCCGGCCAGGAGCAGGCACACACGCCGCCCAGCCCCACCTGCCAGGCCGTCACTGCTGTCTGTGTCCCAGGCTCTGTGCTCACTGCTGTGCAGCAGCGCCTGGAGGAGCCCGCTGCTGAGTGCATGAGTGACCCCACAACGATCCCAGACTCCCAGATGGCCTCCCAGCCTCAGCCACCGCTTCCTGACTCCCAGAGCAGGCGGTACTCACGGTTGGTCTGCGAGCCTCTCAGCGGTGGCCTTGGCCACATAGGCGAGGGGCACAAGCCCCACACTGGGCTGGCCCGAGAGCCGACGGGCAAAGATGTAGTCGCCCTCCTCCTTGAGGGCGTAGAGCCTGTCCCCACGGCTGACACTCAGCTCATCCGCATACCGTGCCGTGAAGTCACACAGCGCCCTGAAGAACTGCCCAGGCGCTGGGGGGCTGCCAAGCACAGCGGCAGGGGGCTCCAGCTCCGGGTCGGCACCCGGGTCGGGGAAGCAGGGGATGCTGTGGTCCTGGGCACCTGCTGGCCAGATCTTGTTCCAGAAGAAGGACAGGAAGGCCAGCCGCTTCCTGAGGAAGGGCTCCATGTTCCAGGGTGTTCTGAACCTGTTCCCCACGCCGCCCAGGCCCTGCAGGGAAGGGGACGTCCGGAAAAGGAGAAACTGGAAGAGCTGGTGGGAAGGCGAGTGTCGGAGCCTGGAGCCTCGGAGCCTTGCTGCGTTCGTCCTGGCTGGTGTGAGGTGTGGTGTAGCAGGTCACTGCAGCGGGCCCCCACACCCCACAAGCAGGAGCAGGCTTACACAGCCCCCTGCCTGCCTCTAGGCTGGTGTTCAGACCAGCCTGGGGGGTGGGGCCGGGGTGGGGGCAGCCCCGCCCCTCCTCCCTTCTGTCCCTCCCCCAGGCCCAGGCAGGATGGAGCGATGCTGCTCTGCGAAGAATATGAAGGATATGAACCCCGTGGCACAGAGGGGGTGGGGATGAGTCTGGTGTATGGCCAGGCCCTCCTGCTCGATGAAGCAAACTCGGCCTGTGCTTCTGAGTTGGGTGGGGAAAGCAAGCCCCAGCCGTCAGATTCTGGGGTCTGGGGCTGTGGGCAGGGTCTGTGGTGGGTGGGATTCCAGCCAGGTGGCCTGCTCTCTCTCCACGTGTGTCTCCCTCCACCCAGGGTCATTATTGAGGCCACATCTCTCTTCTGATGGCTGCAAACCCTCCTTCCTCTCCCTGAACTCTATGTACACCCAAAAGTTTGCTTTCTCTTTTTTAAAATATATTTTTATTGATTTCAGAGAGGAAGGGAGAAGGAGAGATAGAAACATCACTGATGAGAATCATGAATCGGCTGCCTCCTGCCCGCCCTACACTGGGGACTGAGCCCGCAACCCAGGTACATGCCCTTGACCGGAATCAAACCTGGGCCCTTCAGTCTGCAGGCCGACACGCTTCCCATTGAGCAAAACTGGCCAAAAGTTTGCTTTCTGTGGTGAATGGTCCCAATAAACAGGTGTGACGATTGTCCAACTGGCCCCCGAGAGGCAGCCGACCCTTTTCTCTGCATTGCACCTGGAGGCCCCGCCACGCACCTGGGCAGCAGCTCTACAGTCACAAACTGGTGTGGCAGCCACACTGCTCTGAAGGGGCAAGGGCCCAGGGGCAGCTCCGGGCACCTGAGACTCATCCTGTTGGGGGTGTGAGAAGAAGATATTTTTAAAAATATATATTTTATTGATTTTTTACAGAGAGGAAGGGAGAGGGATAGAGAGTTAGAAACATCGATGAGAGAGAAACATCGATCAGCTGCCCCCTGCACACTCCCTACTGGGGATGTGCCCGCAATCCAGGTACATGCCCTTGACCAGAATCAAACCTGGGACCCTTCAGTCCGCAGGCCGATGCTCTATCCACTGAGCCAAACCGGTCAGGGCGAGAAGAAATATTTATACACACATACTTGGGAGGGGGGAGCCTGGAAGAGCCTGCAGTCCCGCCACCACCTGCTCCCCTGAGTGCAGGCCTGGGATTTGTGGGTGCATTTCCCTCAGTCCAGATACATGGCTCCTCCTCCTCGGAAGCCAGGCCTCTGACCTGCAGCCACAGGGCCTCCTCAGGCCAGGTCCCCACTCGTGCTGACCATGCTCGGGTCAAGCACTCAGAACCCGGACACGTCCTCCTAAGACACGCCGCCCCCAGAGCTGCAGGGCCTCTGGGACAGCACATTCCTCCGGGCGCAGGGCAGGCAGGGAGGGCCCGCCTTGGGCCTCTGGACTAGCTCCCACGCCTGGTCCCAGGCCTCCTGTTAGCCCCCCAAAAAGCCCAGAGACCCCCATGATGGGCTGAGGTCTTCCTCCTACTGGCAAGGAAAACAGATCCTGTCCATCCTCCTCAAGGTCGGAGCAGAGACATTTTTCTAGCAGGAACCTGTGCTTGGAAGTGGGCACCCCTCCCAGCTCGTGAAGAACTCTGGCCCTTCTCAGTCTCCCCCAGTGACGAGGGCAAGAGGCTCCTCCTCGTTGGCCCAGGCTCTGCCAGGAGTACCGCTGGCCGCCGCAGCCTGCCACGGGCCCTCCACCAGGCTGGCCCTCTGGCTCCACCGTCACCCTAAGGAGCGGCCGTGCTGGGTGGGGTGGGTGGTGGGCATGAGAGCGGAGGCTTCCACAACTCTGGATGTGGTCAGATGAAGGGTTCAAATCCTGTTCAGACTCACTAGCCGTGGGCAAGGTGCTGACCTCCCTGTGCCTTGATTTCCCATCTGTAAGAACACTGAGCTCCCAGTGACGTGGGGAGCAGGGGCCTCCGGCATGCAGGCTGAGGAGCCACCACCCAACGGGCTCATGTGTGTGGAGGACACACGATGGGGGTGTCCGCGCTCGGGTGCACTCCCCTCCCCAGGGCTGTGACCTGGAGACCACCAGGCTCCCCACCTCAGGGCCCAGGGTCGCTCTGCCAAGGGCAGCACGGCCCGGTGACCGCAGAGTTGGGCGAGAGAGAGCACAGATGCCTTGGAGCGGCACTCACAGAGGAAGGACCAGCCAGGCTGCACACGGCCTGCTGGGCTCCACAGAGAGAGGCCGCCAGGGCGCGGGGCAGGCCGGGTCCCTCTGGGACCACGCTGCTTGGTCTGACACAGCTTCTGCAGGAAATGGGCAGTGGGTTCATGGTGCCTCTGTTACATCTTACAACTGGGTGTGATTTACAATGATCTCAAATTCAACATTTAATTGTAAAAAATTAGCTTAGGAACAAGACACAGAAGGGGCGGAGCCAAAGCGGCCAGGGGCGGGGCTGCTGTGCGCCCCTCTTTCTCCCTCAACCTTCAGACGGCACCCCCTTTCCAAACCACTCAGCCCCTCGGATCCCGGAATAACAGCAGCTCCCATAGTGAGTCAGGGCCCAGGGCAGATAAGGAGGGCAGGCCAGGCCCCAACACACCCTCCTCGGGCTCCACCTCTGGTGCCCCCCAGGCCTGGGCCTGAGAAGGGCTGATAGGCAGCTAGCCAGGGGGACTCCTCCAGCGGGGAGGGGTGCAGTGGGCAGGCTCTGGCACAAAACAGACTGGGAGGGCACTCAGGCAGACATTCTATCTTGGAAGGGGGCCCCACCACTGACCTCCCAGGAGGAGCAGACAAGCATGGCTTGGGGTGTCCTTGCCTCTTCAGCCTCCCCAAGGGGGGCAAGGGGTGTCTTAGGGAGTCAGACCTACCACTCCGGGTGGGACAGCCCGGCTGGCTGAGGGATCCCAGAGGCCCTGAGCCCAGCTGGCCCCTGAAGGTGGGGCTCCAGAGGCTGAGAATACCTCTGAGGGGCGCCGGGAGCTGTGGCGACCCCATTTGTCCAGACCTAGATGGGGCCCCAGCGTGGGAGAGGAAACGGGCAGCACCTTCACCAGGGAGACCAGTATTGCCCACCTGCCAGTGCCCATGGCCCCGACTCTGGGCAGCTCCAATGAGGGGTTCCCTGAGCGGCGCTCAGCCAGGGAGGCAGCAGGAGCCCCCCTCAGAACCACCCGCAGGCTGCAGGTCCCGCCAGAAGCCCCGCTCAGGGAGCCCTGTGCCGGGCGGTGACTCAGGGACCGCCAGCCTGAAGGCACCGACTGCGGCCTGGCTCCCGCACTCCGCGGCGGCTCCCGGTGGGTCCCAGCGGAGAGAGCAAAGCCCATGGACAGTTCCTCCGAGCCGGCAGGGCGGAGCCGGGGAGAGGCCAGCGGTTCCTTGGGTCGGGGTCCTGGGACCGTCCTCCCGCAGCAGACAAGTCTGGGAACGCAGGGAACGGGTCTCCCCTCTAAGCCTGGGTTCCCCCACCCCGCCCCCACTCCCGGGCGCCGCGGGCGTCACAAAGACTCAAGATCTCCATGGCAACCGCTGGTTGCCACGGGTGCGAAACTGGACGCCCCCGCTCTGCGCACAGTCAGCCGCACGGAGCTCCGGGAGGCAGGGCAAGTGGGCGCGCGGGGCTGGGGGAGGGCCTGGGGTGGGGCATGCAGGGGACGTGGGGAGGCGCGGAGGTGGGGGTAGGTCTCTGGAAGGTGGGCGGGCGGGTTGGGGGGGTGGCTTCGGGGAGCAGGAACGGGTGGAGTCAGAGTCGAGAAGGCCAGGACTCCAAGCGACCCCTCCTGGGAGTTTACACCAACCCATCTGTGGTTTTCCACCTGGGAGACTTGACCCGCAGCCAGATCCAGGGGCAAGAGTTCCCTCCAGAGGCCAGAGCAGGACTTAGGCCATAAATCCTGGGATCCTGGGCTCGGCTGGCACCTCACCCCCATAGCCTCTCTGTTGTGCCCAGGCCTCTTGTGGCTCCTCTGCTCCAGGAAGGGCAAGGACCTTTGGGGAGGAGGCAGCCTGCCCCAGCCTTACCCTGCCACTTGGTGGGTTCTTGGGCAAGTCACTGGATCTACTGGGCCTCCCTGTAACTCACCCAACCCTTGGGTGTGGGACAACCCGAGCTTCCCAGGTGCAGGCCGGGGCCCTGGGGGTGGCTGGGACCTGGGACAGCAGCCGGGAATGTTGGCTCCTTCTCCCAGGAGCCCCAGCTTGCAGGAGTGGTCTGCCTCACTGTGGCTGCATCCAGCTGTGGGGCGCCCTGACACCCAGAGCTGGAAACCTGGTGGGGGAGGGGGGTCGTGGCCCCAAAGGAGCTTCAGGCTGTGGGGTCCATGACTAGCTTTGCACCTGGAGTGAGAGTCCACCTGTAGGAGGGAGTGACAGGGCCTCAGCCTTTGGGCCTTTCCTAGGGAGTCGTGGCTCTTTAAGGCCCTGGAGGCCCGGGACACAGGGCTCGGGAACTGGGAACCAGCCGGCTATTCCTCAGCTGGGCCAGCCTCCCAGCTGGCCCTGGTCCCCAACTGGACTGTCCTGGGGTGAGCCTGGCCCTCTGCTGTGCACCAGCGGTGAGGGGTGGAGGGTCTGCCGGGCAGTGGTGTCCCAAGGGGAGTTCGGTGCTGCTCAGACAGGACCTCACTGAGTCTCCGTGCCCCGAGGAGCACTGTCACCCATTTCAAACAGGTCCCGAAACCTTTGCCAGGCCGCACAGCTGGTCAGTGGCTGAGGTTTCTGCTCAAGTCATTCTGGCCCCAGAGCCCAGCCCAGGTCTTAGCCCTGTCCTGCGTCCTCACAACCAATCATCCGTAATGTTTGCCCCTCAATGCCTACTTTTTAAAAATATATATATATATTTTTTATTGATTTCAAAGAGGAAGAGAGATAGAACCATCAATGATGAGAATCACTGATTGGCTGCCTCCTGCACACCCCCTACTGGGGATCGAGTCCACCACCTCACCATGTGCCCTTGACTGGAATTGAACCCAGGACCCTTCAGTCCATAGGCTGACCGATGCTTTGTCCATTGAGCCAAACCAGCTAAGGCTCTAAATGTCTACTTTTAATGACTCTGCAGCCTGCCTACCTGGCCCTCCAGGCAGCCTCTTCTAGAGAAAGGTGCTCCCCACAAGGTCCTCCCCCCAGGAAGGATAGAGGGCCCAGTGTGGGGGTTAATGGGCCTGAAATCACCCACACACACAAACAGCCCCAAGTGAGCCCGGTGGGCAGCAGAGGCCTGTCTGACTGCTCCCGCTCATGGCCCACCCTCCACCCCTCCCTCCAGACAATGAGTTTCCAGGTGACAGGCCTGGGCCTGGACAAGATGAAGCTGGACAGTCCCCAGTCCTTCCTGGACCAGGAGGAGGTGGAGGAGGCTGAGGACCGGCAGCTGCTGGAGCCGGAGGCTTGGAGGACCTACACAGCACGCCGCAATGCACTGCGGGAGTTCCTGACCTGCGACCTGAGCCCCCACCTGCTGAAGCGCCATCACGCTCGCATGGAGCTGCTGAGGAAGTGCTCCTACCACATCGAGATCCTCCCCAAGCACCTGGCCCTGGGCGACCAGAACCCGCTGGTGCTTCCCAGCACCATGTTCCAGCTCATCGACCCCTGGAAGTTCCAGCGCATGAAGAAGGTGGGCACCGCGCAGACCAAGATCCAGCTCCTGCTGCTCGGAGACCTGCTGGAGCAGCTGGACCACGGCCGTGCCCAGCTGGATGCCCTGCTCGAGTCGCCTGACCCTCGGCCCTTCCTGGCGGGCTGGGCACTTGTGGAGCAGCGGCTGGCAGACCTGTCGGCCGTCATGGACAACTTCCTGGCCATGATGGTGCCAGGGCGTCTGCATATCAAGCACCGCCTGGTGTCTGATGTTGGCGCCACCAAGATCCCGCACATCCGGCTCATGCTCAGCACCAAGATGCCCGTCATGTTCGACCGCAAGGAGTCGGTGGCCCACCAGGACTGGGTCACCCTGCGCTGGTTCGTCACCATCCAGCCAGCGATGCCGGAACAGTTCGAACTGCGCTTCAAGCTGCTGGACCCACGGACACAGCAGGAGTACTTGCAGCGCGGCATCATCCCCGTGGCCGCCTGCACCTTCGACGTCCACAACCTGCTGCCCAACCGTGTCTACAAGTTCACCGTCAAGAGGGCAGAGAGCTACACGCTGGTCTATGAGCCCTGGAGGGACAGCCTCACACTGCAGACCAAGCCGGGGCCCCCCGAAGGGCCGCCCCCCCGTCGGCTGGGCAAGCCGGGCCGCCCCTGACTGCAGCTTCCGAGAGATGGTTTTCTAATATTTATCCACTAATAAAGAGGAGTATAAACGCACACACACAATGAAAGAAGCAAACCTACTTCCGTCCTGAGGGCAGCGGCAGCCACATGGGTATTTCTCCTGACTTGGCCCAAGCACTCCCACGAGCCCCAGGCCCCACAGCTCCTGCTCCCTTTTCGGGGGGGGGGGGGCGGGGGCCCCAGGCTGGACCTTCCAGGACAGCTGGCCCCAGAGCAAGAAGCACCAGCCCTGGCACCTGGATGTCACCTCCAGCATGACAGCTGCCCCGGGGCTCGGCCACGCCAGCTCCATCTCCCCCCCCCCCCCCGCCCCCGTCACAATAACCAGCCATGTGACCTCAGCACAGGCTCTGGCCACCTTTCCTCCCTCCTAGGCCAGGTTCCCCAGGGGGACAAGCCCCCAGGTCCTGCCCAGACCCCACAGGGGCAGTCATGGCCCATCACTCTCACCCCAGCTTTATCAGGATCAAGATTGAGGCCAAAAGGACATTTTATTTTTTAAATGACAATAAAAGTCTTATCTTTCCCCCAAATGAAGCTGAAGTTCATCGGCACCCCATCCTGAGGTGGGTGAGGGTCCCAGGAAAGGGCGCCTGGCAGGGGGCATCCCCAGCACACAGGCCAGCATAAGTACTCTTGGGAGGTGGTACTCTCTCCAGCCCATTGGCCCTCCCCACCAACTCCTGCTGTCCAGCCCCCTGTGGGTGACCACCCCCTTGATGTTGCCTTGATAGTCTGCCCTTGCCCTGCAGTGGTCCTGTGACCCCGGGCGCCCAGCAGTGCCCCTCCCCGTGCGCACGCTCACTCTGACAAAGGTAATGTGGACGTCAGTGTCCACCTGCTCCTGCGGCTTGGACACCAGCTCCAGGAGGGACAGCCCTATGTCCCTGGCCATGGCTGAGGAGGATGGTCACCACGTGGTCACTGGAGAATCGTGTGGTCAGGGATGATGGGAAACAGCCTCTCTCCCACTGGCCGAGAAGTGGTTTGGTGAAGGGGGTCCCCAACTCTGCCGGAGAAGCCCCAGCACTGTCCCCCAGCGTGGACAGGGTGCTCTTACAGGTGGGGATTTAGCCCGGGGGTGCTCCTCTCCCAGGCCTGTCCCTCTGTGTGCCCCGTGCTCTGGCCTCGTGTGCTATGGGGCGCACTCCTGCATGTCCTGCAGGGGTCCCAGAGCCCAGGCCTCATGCTCCTCGGAAATAGAGGGAACAGGGGTAAGAGCAGGCCAGGGACCAGGGACTGGGGTTTGTGCTGAGTCATACCAGTACAACAGAGGGCCTGGCTGGAGTGGGGTTCACCAAGGGAGGTGCATGGGGGTACGCAGCTCATTCTGTGTCTCCTGCTGGAGGCCTGGCTTGCGCCCTCACCCAGAAAGGCAGCTGCCCAGAGGCCACAGGTCCCACTCTGTAAGCAGCTCTGCTGCACCTCCTAAGTACAGCCCTTGAGGCCAGGACGCTGGTCTGTGCCCGACCCGCCTCCAGCCTCACCTCTACCCGTAGCTGCCTCGCCCCGCCCCCACCCCCCACCCCCGGCCCCCTGATTCCTACAGCACACTTGGGGTTTCAATGCCTCTTCCTCTGGGAAGCCCTCCCTGACTCCAGGTTGGTGAGGTCTTAACTCCCTGCCTCAGACACCTGTTCATCTCTCCTTAAGCGTTTTTCACAAGACACGGTCAAGTTTCTCAGTGCTTGGAGGAGGCTGCCATGGAGAGGCCTCTTCCAGGCAGGGCCCATCGACTCACTTTGGGCCTCACAGTGGACACATGGTACACAAAGCCTGCCACGCCTGTCTCTCTGTGACCTCCCGACCCATCCACTGCCAGGGCCCCGGCCACACCTTCCTTTTCCCACAGCTGCTCTACGGGGTGGGGGTGGGAGGCCTGGGGGCTCAGCCACACAAGGGGAATGAGGAGCCCAGGTCAATCCCCAGGGGCCATGCAGTGCCCAAGGTCCTGGGTGGCACCGGGCCCGCTGGCAGCCTTGGGGACTTTGGACCTAGACTGTGGGCCTAAGATCAGCGTTCAGAGGCTGGGCACACCTGCAACACCTGAACACAGCTCCCGGCGTGGCTCACCCTCCCATTCCAGCTTCCTCGGTGCTGGCAGAGGACCCTCAGCCGGCGGTGTCCTCAGTGCTCCCCGTGCTCCCCACCCAGCACCTGCCACAATGGCTTGACAGCCTCACAGCCCCTTTGCAACCTAAGTAAGAGGAAGGGCTACCCTCTGTGCCCCCAGACAGGCCTCAAAACACTCAGGGGTGACAAAGCAGAGTGGCCTTTATAACAAAGTTAATGTTCAATCATATAATAGTCCAAGAAAAGATACAAAATCGGAATGTAGAGATTTGATTTGTAGAAAACTTGAGGAAACAGACCCATCCCATGGTCCCGCAGCAAGGCCACGGGGGCTGCCCTCCTCGGACACACAACACTTTGCAGCCCCAGCCCGTGGGGAACATCACCCCGAGACCCAGGTCAGAGCTGCCTCAGGGCGGACTCGGCGGGGGGTCGGAGGCTTCCAGAGAAGGCAGAACACAATGCCTCCTGACACACCAGGTGGGCAGGCTGTCCGGACCTGGCCCACCCGCGGAGTGGGGGCGGAAGCATGGGGGGGGGATGATGGCAGCCCTGCCCACAGCCCTTGGGAGCGCTGCTGTGGAGGGGGGGTCAAGGTGAGGTGGCCTCAGGGGGGGCTGTGGGTGCAGAGAAAGGCCCTGGCTTCCAGGGAAGCTCCTCTGCCCTGAGTTTGGGTTGATTTAAAAATAGAAAATAAAGCTGAGCTCCATGGCTGGCACCAGTGTGGCTGAGATGGCATCCAAAGACCAAGAAGCTGGGATTTCCTTCCAGACCCCAAACCTTCCCCGTGGCCCCACCCGAGATGCTCCGGTCACCACGGCGGCAGTAAAAGGCCAACCGGGAGGATGAGTACCGACCTCCTCTTTCTTCTCAAGTCCGTGCTGCCCCGGGACAAAGCCAGGCTCCAGAGACGGCTAATGTGCACACCGGCGGGCCTCCGAAACCCGCCCAGCCGGGGGCAGGGTGCCAGGCCGAGCCGGCGACGACTGCTGACGAAGGCACGTGGGATCCGGAGGAGCGGGGCCAAGGCAGCCTGCAGGGGGGCTTGGCCTTGTCCTGGCCGTCCTGGCAGCTTGAGGGCAGTGGATGGCTGAGGCGGGCCCTTCAGACCGGCACGGCTGGCCTCCTCCGGACCCGCACCTGGCCAGCGGGCACCAGGCTCCGCTGGGCCTCACAGAAGTCCAGGAGTCTGCGCCACAGAGGGCAGCATCGAAGCAGGAGGTGGTCTCCTGCAAGACGGAGGAGTCAGTGCTGGCCCCACCCCCACAGCAGCCATGCCCAGCCACACCCAGGCCTGCCCCAGCAGCTCTCACCAACGAGGCAGAGCCCCTCCTGGGCCCGGGTGATGGCCACATTCACTTGGTTGGGGTCTACAACGAAGCCCAGGAACCTCTTCAGCCAGCTCTTCGTTGGCCGTTGGTCCAGGTCGCTCTCCGGGCAGGAACGGACGGTGCTCACCAGCACATAGCGCCACTCACTCCCTGGGGACCAGGGCCACAGTGAGGCCCACCTTCCTGACCCGAAGGCTCAGGAGCCCTACCCAGGACCGGCCTCCAGCCTCACCCTGGCTCTTGGTGATGGAGCACACTGCCACTCCGGTGACACCCTGACGCACGAGGCCCTTGCTGATCTCTGCGGCCTGCGCATTGTAGGGCGTGAGGATGGCAATGTCCTTGGGGTCCACTGTCCTGTCCAGGGTCAGCTGTTTGGCGATGCGAACCTGAAGGACCGAGGGGGTGCTAGTGGAACAGGCCTTGGTGCCTCCCGCCCTGGCACCCGGGCCTCGCCTATTTCCTCAGCTCCTCTGCCTCCTCCTCCAGGAAGCCCTCCTGGCCAAGGGGCACCACCTGACACTCACCACTTCCGCCACCTCCTCCAGGTTGGCCTTGGAGTTCTCGTTCCCTTCATCTGTGGACACCAGCAGGCTCTGCTCGTGGCCCTGCACGTGGCCAAAGATGACAGGGCAGCTCTCCTTGTCAGCATGGCCCAGGACGCTGGGCGGCCGCCGCAGGCCCGGCCAGGTCTTCAGCTTCTTCTGGTAGAACTCCATGGAAGGGAAGCTGCAGATGCCCTCGTGCTGCCGGAAGAACATGAGCCAGGGACAGGCTGCCATCCGCCCTCCCTGGGTCCCAGGGGAAGGCCAGGGTGCATGCAGGAGGTGGGAGTGGTCGGAGGCACAGGCGTGGGGTGGCTCACCATGCGGTACTGCGTGTCCAGCATGTGGGCATCCCTGTAGTACCTCTCGAAGAGAGACCGGTCCAGCCCCAGGCTTTGCAGCTGCTCATTCTTGACCACAGGCCGCAGCTGCTTGTGGTCCCCAAGAAGAACCACCTGGAGGGCAGGTGTGGATCTGACCCCCAGACCCAGAGGCACCCAGCACGTCCGCTGCTACCCCACCTCAACCTGCCCTCCATGCGCTCCCTGCATCCAGGTGTGAGGCCCCCCGGACGATGCCTGTCTGGCATCAGCACCTGCCTCACCTTCTCAGTGTGGGAGAAGTTCACCAGGGGGATGAGGGTCTCGGGCTCCGTGGCCATGCCCGCCTCATCGACCAAGATCTGCCGGACGTTCAGGTTCTTGAGGCTGGGCGAGGCTGCACACGAGCACGTGCAGAGGATGACGCTGTGGCGGTCCAGCTCGAACTTCCTCGCCCTCCCCAGGATCTTCTTATACCTGCGGAGCGACGCCGTCGGGTCACCCAGGGTCCCCCACACCAGGAGGCCACGCCACGGCTCCGCCGCTTACCTGGCGAGGTCCTCCTCGGGGAACACTTCCCCTCTCTGCAGCCGGGTGTCAAAATCCTTGATGGAGGGCGCGTAGGGGTTGGAGGACTGCCGGATCCGGTGGTGCAGCGTGATGGCCCTGGCGGGGGGACCCCATGAAGCCCGTGTTGCCCACAGCCCAAGGCAGGACCCTCAGACAGCTTGGGCCTCTCCCCTCCACCCAGAGACAGACAGACAGACAGACAGCTAGACAGACACTGAGAGGCGGCACCTGAGGCTCTGATTGGGCCTCCCCTCCCGAGGGGTCTTCCTGGGCGGGCCCCGGCTGCTCACGCCCGGCACTGG